GGGCAGGAGGCCTGGCCGCCTGCTGTGGCTGATTGCTCCTCTGCGGTTCAGGGCCTGGGCCTCCGCCTCCACCAATTCTCTCTGAGTGCCACGCAGCATGCTGACACCATGCCCTCAGCCATCTGCAGCAGTCCCCAGAAGTGAGGTGCTTCATTCGGGCCCAGCTTCCCGGAGGGAGACTGAGTCCTTCCCCTCCTCGCCCTCCACCCACTCTCACTGCAAAGGATGGAAAATGGCTCCGGCTTCCCCTGGGAGTGGGCCGTCTGCCCCTCCACCTCACCAACGGGCCCTGGCTGCTGCTCGGCACAGGGCGAAGGCTCACACAGGACAAGATAAAGGCAACCAGGAAAGGAGAGGCACCACCCAAGGTCATGGGGAGCAGACGCAGGCCTGGGGTCAGAGCCACCCCTCTGCTCTGTCCTAGACCCTGCAGGACCGGCCAACTGGCTGGTACCAGGCAAGCAGCCGTGGGGATTTTCCCGCATACCCTGGCGGAGGCCTCCAGGATGCTCCAGGTTTCCCAAGAGGCCTTCCAGCCCCCGTCCTGGTCCCCCAGAAGGGACGCAGGGCCCGAGATGGGGGCCCTCGCCCCTTTCAGCTCAGACGGCACAGCTACATCTGTTGTCTTCTGGTGAGATTTCATTTGATCAAAAGTTTCCATCCCCAAAGAGCTTGGAAGCCACAGTGTACTGGACGGAAATGAAATTTGGTCAGATAGACCCAGTGTGACCTCAGGCACACTGTTCAACCTTTCAGAGACGAGTTTCCTCATCTGGAAAACAGGGGTAATCATACCACAGAAGGGGCTCTGGGGAAGCACTTCTCATTTCACCTGGTGCTCAGAGAATATTAGCTTTCACACGCGTGTTACACATGACAGAGGTGAATTGCTTAGGCCTCTGCCTTCCTGCCCTCCAACCCTTCACCATGGCCGCCTGGGGAACCCAGACTCCACAGTTTGGAGGCAACTCTCTTCCCCAGCCCCACCCAGTGGCTGGTCAGAAGTACCAGGCAATCAAAAGAGAGCACCGGGGAAGTCTGACTGGGAGGATCCCCAAGTGCCCGGTAACTCCCCTGTGCAACTGGGAGTTGTCCCGGGCACCGCGTGGCCAACACTGCCTCGGGACACCTCTGGGGTGTGCGGGCCAAGGCAAGCGGCAGCATCAAGGAAAACTGTCGCAGCCCCAACAAGTTCTGGAGCCACTTGGTCCCATTTTTCAGCCTCTATTAAGTACAATAATTAAAGCTGCATTTGCCTTCTAATAATAGCTCCTGGCTCGGGTAATTATAACTCCATCATCCCAGCAAAGCCGGGGATGGGTGGAGGGGAGCCTGCATTTTGCAGGCAAGGCCCCTTGGTTCTGGTTGAGAGCAGGCCCTGGCAGGCTCACACCGCCCGGGGTCACCAGAGCCCCCCCCATGCCCACCTCAGTCCCTGTGCAGGGGGCCTTCACCTCCCTTTCCTCTCCATGGTGTGCCCAGACCTTGGCATTCTCCACAGGGACAAAGCCAGGAAGTTGTCCCCAGCTCTCTAGAAGTCTCTCTGCAGCAGTGACCACAGATCCTGGAGGGTGAAGGGTTACGTGGCCCCCGTGAGAGGAAACAGGAGGTCTCAGTAACTACTTCATTACCAGTAATAACAATAGACACCCCTTCCTAAGTACCTCCTACTGGAAGACACTGAAACCTTACAAGTATTCATTCTTTTAATCCCGCACATAACCGGGCATGGCAGGCTTCTATTACTACGCCTGATTTAGAGATGAAAAAAGCCAAGCAGAGAGGTTAAATAGGCTGCTTCTCGTCCCCGAGCCAGCTGGGTTTGAACCCAGGGAGTCAGATTCCACAGTCTGTGCTCTGAGCCACTGCACGGAACTGCCTTCCCTCCAAGGTAACGCCTGAACTGCGGGGACAGGAGGGCACAGCGGTCGCAGGTCAGAAATCCTCAGTTCTGGCCCGAACTCGCCATGTGATCTTAGGTAAGTCTCTGGGCCTCAGTTTCCTCACCTGTCAAATGCGGAAAATAGTACCATACACCTCTAACCCCCCCCCCCC